TAGTACATGTAAGTAATCTGCTCATGTTATCATGGTCATTTGTTGTTTTTGCTGATAAGCTCAGGACAGCATCCTGTGAAGAAAGCTGCCAGTTGTTCTTGAAGATAAACAGACATCTCGAAGAGGCAATGCTCCTGGCCTACAGGTTCACAACCCAGTCAAATTAATATGCAGTAGGAGAAGTGTGAAGCTTTGCAATGTGTGCTTTTTTAGCTACAGGAGAGTTTGAAATCCAGCTTTAAACTCTCGCCTGCTCAGCTTGCTTCCTGAGATTGAGTCATGATTCATCACAACTGTAACATTTCCAATCAACAAAAGGTGGTTTCATAGTTGAGGGAGCAGCATTTTGTTATCTCTATCCATCTGTGCTTTAACTACAGGACTCTTTCTGCTTTGGCTTCCCAATTTTATTTTCCATCTGTATTATATCCCATCTATTCCATCCACTGAATGATGAGCCAGTATTTCTTGAGATGTTGAAAATCTCAAGCAATCCTTTTTTTTTTTTCCCCAAAGAAGATGTATTATAGAAACTGTTTTGGTTGTTGTACCGAAAGTGTCATGTTTTGAAAAGAGTCCTATTTTATGAAGTCTGAATTGATCAGTCACCTTTATCAAGGTGCCTTTACATCCAAAATCTCTTTTCTGTTTAAGCTGATAAAATGTGGTCAGATAGGGATGTTAGCCTCTGTGTATTTATTTTTATCTGGTTACAATCCATGAAACTGCACTTTATCCCATTTGACTTTTTCTAAAACTGATTGAAAGACTATCTTGAAATAGCTTATCAGGCCAATGGGCAGAAATAAGCAGTGTAGCTTGTGTAAAAGCTTTTCTTTTCAACTTTTTAAAGTTCATTTCTTTTTATATATATAAAAGGATGAACAGAAGAAATTTGATGAACTAACACATCAGATTTGATGTATTACTTTTTTTAAAACTAAAATGCAATGCAATCATGAATAACATTATTTTGTTTTGATGTTGTATGGTCTTGAAAGTCTCCAAAATCATCCTTTGAGACCTGAAGTCAGTCCAAATAAATAATATAAACCCACTTTCTATTTTTTTTTTGGTTTTTTTTTTTTTTAGTAAGACACAACTGGAATAAATATAATAGTTTTATACAGGCTCTACAATCTTAATTTATGAAGAGAAAGGTTCTACTCATAGACAATTATTTTTCAGTGACCAATAACTGCTTTTGGCATAATTTTGGACCTGAGTAATTTCCAGACTAAGATGAAACTGGACTTTCTTTTAGTTTTGGAGATTTTCAGTATTTTTAAAACTAGATTCCAAAATGTTAATTTCTGTGGGGAAAAAATTGGTAAATTTCAAATTGTAGATGAAAATTTAGTATTTCCTTCTTATTACTCTTTTTTAAAAATTGTTTTAATTTTTTTTTTTGTATTTCTATCTATGTCTGATGCAATTGAACAGTTAACAGTTTGAAAGCAGGTTTACCCATAACGGAAGTTTGATTCAAGCTGAGAGGAATCTGTTATACGTAAGAACATGAAAACATCTAATTTAAATGTAATCATAGAATGGTTTGGGTTGGAAGAGATCTTAATGATTATAAAGTTCCAGCTACCTGCAGGGATACCAGCTATGCTTTGAACTCTTCCAGGGATGGGGCTTCCACAACTTCTCCCAGCTGAACTGAACTGAAATATAGATCACACTGGTTTTCCATTCTTTTATACGAGTTCTGTGAATTAATCTGGTGTTCTGCATTATCATAAACAAAATGTTTTTCAACGTTTTTCCTCTTTCATTGAACTCAGAATGTGATGAGTGGTCACTGTTAAAGATCTATATGAAAAATAATATAAAGGGATGAACCAAATGGGGCATAGTGTTGGGAGGCGAAACTTACCTTCTGTCTTGGACATGCTGCTAAATGCTGTTAAAAAGCTGCTAAAATCAGTTCAACCTGTGGAACTGGTTCTTTTGTTCTGTGAGATTTCTGTGACAGTAGGGAAAGGGTCCCAAAATGATACAGGAATAGGATGCTTGGCATTGTGGCCCTCATTGACTATGATGAATTGGCTTAAAACAGCAGGATGAAAAAAACACAAGACCAAATTATATTAAGAGTTGCTGCATGTTTTAGAAGCAAGAGTAGTTTATGTGACCTTAGAAATCTAAGCAGAAATAATTAGAGTTCTGTTAAGAGCTAGTATTTAATTATGGCTGACAAGAATTTAATTATTTAATCAAATAAGGTTTTGTTACTAATGCATCTATCTTTAGAACACCATGACAGAAGCAGAAGATTTTTAAAGATGTTTGTACAAAAATGTAGGCTGACAGGTTCCAAATATGATAATCCAAGAAGTTTGATGTAAGCTGTTGACTTTTTTTATTTACCTCAAAAAGATTTGCTAATGAAGCAGTTGGTGTTTAGCATGACCTTTTATTATATCAACTTAAACTTTGTCTCCACTTTTCTTGTTAAGGTTTTGGAAAAAAATAGCCATGATACTGTATGAAGAGTGATGAGCAGGCAAATAGGGTCTGCAAATGTGACAGTGGAAGAATAATAGTTTTGGGAATTTAAGAAATGGAACTTAAAGAATGTTATCTGACAGAGAAAAAGAAGGGGTTAGTAATATACATACTTTGAAACAGCCATTAGCATAACAAGAGTGATGTGCTTATATAAATCGAAGAAATGACTACATTTTTTTTAGGAAAAAGGCCAGCCTTGAACAACCATAAAATAGATGGTGATATCATACTTCCAGTGAAAGTGAAATGAAAAAAAAATTGTTATTACACTGAAATAAAATTATGAATGCTCACAGAATTCTTTCTTTAAGCAAAAGTGCTATGTAAGAAGTGACTGGAAAGGAATTTTACCTGTGCCTGTGATTTGTCCTTGAGGCACTAAGGAATCAGAGTTCTGAAAGAGTTGAATTGTTTTGCAAATTCACAGGAAAAATATCTAAAGCAAATTCACAAAATCTACTGACTGGCAACTGCCCCAAAACTCTTATGATTAGTTAGGTTTCAAATAGGCAAGACAGTGACTTACACCTTCTGAGGGTTCAAGTAAGGGCATCCTGTTGTAACGTGTAAGCTGTAGTGCTGAATGATCAGGCAGGAACCAACTGCAGATGGTGCTGATGGGCTTTTTGCACAGATTAATTTGTGCCTTTTTTTCCTCTCTACTGTGAATCCCTCGGTTATGCTTCTGAAATATCAAGGTTAGAAATGAGAAGTTAGAAAATATTTCCAGCATCAACAAAATGTCAGTTCCGTAAAAAAGCAATCAGCTCACCTGTTAACATGGAACTGAAACACATAATTAAACTTATATCAAGTTTTGCTGTAATTACTGAACATCTTGAAATCAAGAAAACTCAGGGTAACTTAAAGTTCTCAGGCAGAAAACAGTGACTTCAGTAGAGCCTCTCCCATGTGTGTTGATGCAAATGGGAAGATTAAAGCTGAGTACACAAGATGCTGTGTACAAGAGAAGAGAATTATGGGATGGTAGCTGAAGGGGCATGAGATGACACTGGCAAAAGCATTTTCAAAGTTGACAACCAGAACCAGGCAGTTAATACATGTAAAACAAAACATAAATAGTAAATGCAGATATAATGTGGGATGACAAACCAGTGAAGAAAAAGCAAGGTGCATATTGTATAAGTAAGCAGATAAAAGTAGTGCCAAGTGGCCTCAGGAATGAACAGGAAATAGTCACCATTATCATATTCATGGCAAAAGACTGAGTCCACTGATGTCTCACCACAGCATCTCTGCCCCAAGTCCTTATTTACTAAACTGTTATAACTTTTCTACATTCAAATTTTACAGCTCTAAGTTCTCTTCTCTCTCTGTTTCTGAGGCTTACTTTGACAACTTCCTAAAATTCTTAACTGTGTTTCCCACATTTAGACACCAAAAATTGGTCTGTCCTGCTTGGAGAACAAAAATAATATTAGTTGCACTAAAAATGAAATGTTTGTGGGCATTACCAGGATGAGATCAGGAAGGTGCTTGCTAAGTAGAGAAGGAAGTTGAAGACCTTGAGAGATATGAAATGCATCAGTCACACTGTAAAATACACATACAGACATAAATACATATACATGCAAAATAAACATACAGAACACATTTTTAAGACCAAAACAAAGTGCAACTTTCAGGCCCAGTTTGCTTCATAAAATAGCATGTAAAATCATGATGGTTTTCAGCCTATAAGTCACTTTGAGCCTATTAGATAGTATCTTTTTACAGCTCAAAGTCAAATGTAAAAATGTCTATATGCCATAACAGCTGTAGCACTTCAGTCCTTTAACTTGCATTTAATATTACCCCTGCAGTAACTGAAACTGGACACAATTTTCCACAGAAAATTGTGAAATGTGAAACTACCAAGCTCTTTGGAACCATCTTTTAAAAAAGTATCAGTCAAGAGAATGTCTCTTACTCTGTGTCACGCTGCAGAATACTCACTTGATGGTGCTTGCTTTCATCTCCTACAGCGCTCCTGGGCTCTGTCACACAAACATTTCTCATTTCATGATTCACTGGTCTGAGGCACCACTAAAGCCCCTTTGGAGACATTACAGCTGATCATCTCCATCTGTCTCTCATACATGCACAAACTCCACAGCTGCCACTTCCTAAAATCTGTATGGTATTTTAGATATCAGCTGAATAATACCATGGGAAAGGCCTGTACGTTATGCTTGTTTGTTGTACAAATTCTGTTGCTTTTGAACCCTACTGGGAAGCAAAGAACTATGATTTCTTTTAAAGTTTTAGGTTTTGTTATGGTTAGTAGTTACTTCTGCTTACAGGCATTCATCAAGTACTGCATAATTGAAGTTACTGAAATAAATGAAAAATTTATGACCTTACATAATGCAAACATAGTAGCTGATTTGCATTTAGAAACACTTTTGTCAGTGTCACATGTACATGATATACTATTTAATTCTTCTTTCACCTTGATCAGTTTTAAAAACAATGACAGTATATTATTTTTATATAGGGATACTTTAATTTCATCATGTCATTATAAATTACAGATTCTACCACCATGAATCAAAGATTAGTATTTTCACATTATTTTTACATACAGTTTTACAGTATTTTTTGAGGTCATGTATATACTGTCCCTTTGCAGTTAGAATAACTTTTATTTCTTAGAGAGACACAAAGAACAAATGACATTACATTTGGTAATAAACAATGCCAGATTCTTACGAGACATCCAACCGTAAGATCAGAAATTATCTGCATTAAAAGCACTGATCTCTGTAGGTAAAAAAATGGTCAAATTCCATGTCTAAACCATTTTGGAGATGTGGTCTTCAGAGCAGAGATGTAATCCAGCCTGCTTCATGGATCCCACATCAGTGATGTTGTAGCCATGAATGACAGTTCAGCTGCTTGCGACATTGGCTTATAGGATGACTTCTGAGTCCCATGCCATTTGAGTCCCCCAGGATCCTTCTCTGGAAAGCAGCATTCTCTGGCAGGTTAGTGGGGCTTGAAGCTGCTGTTGAGAGCTAGTGAAAAAGAAGAAGGGTATTCAGGATGTCTGCAGCTTGACCTGGTCCTCAGGACTGCTGTGGCACATGGGCAAGTCTGCAGCAGCCCGTCCCTTTCCCTCACTTCCTTCCATAGGTTCACACTGCATTCCTTTAAAGATGAGTATGGGTCATATTTTTTTTAATATTTATTTTAAATTAACATAGCCATAGTAATTTTAATACCATTTCTTTCCTTGCAATAAAATAATTCTCCCCATCTTTATCGGTGGCGTGGGAGAATAGGGATCAGGTCTATCCATCAGAGGGCGTTAACTCTGCTTTGCTAACCCACCTGGCTCCCTGGGGACATTACCCATGCTACCTGCTGTGATGTGCATGAAAGCATGAAAATCCTGGAAAGAGTTTATTCATTTGCATGATTATGCAGTTAGAGTACTCCCTGGGGACATGCAAAGACACAGGCTGGAGACATTCTTCCACGGTCTGTTTATATATTTCACATGCACCACTCCTAAGCTGCAGTGCATAGGCAGTCCTTGGAACAGCTGAGGACCTCTCCCATCCCAGGAGAATGACCTAAAAAACAGGCACAGGAAATGTGTTTCCTTTTGCACTCTGATTAGAAGTGGCACAGATGTTATTCAAGACCCAGCTCTCAGCTGGGTGGAGCAGAGGATCAGGGTTCTTACTTGTGATGTTGGTTTAAAAATTCTCAGGCAAAGGAGGGCAAGGAGCCTGGCTTCCTCAAACTGTGACTGATCTGGCTGTTACCAGGGTGGAATATGAGCAGCAGGTGTGGCAGTGACCTCTGCCAAGAGGCATAATCCACTCAGGCAGCCCTGAACCTGCTCAGAAAATGAGTAAAGAATTAAAACTCTTCAAGAATGAGCTGAAGTTTTCAGGAGCAGAATTTTGGACAAAGGCAATTAAAATAAGACTTCCCCAAAAGAAAGTCTGGTTTGGATGTAGCTCCTGCATAATTATTTGAATTTAAATACCGTTATCTACTAGGGAACTCTTCCTTATCACACTTCTAATACCTAAATAATTTGTCCTATTATGTCCCAACTGGCATTTATTTCAATACCCAGCAGCATGTATGGGAAGATATATTGCAAAATACAGATACAGGGGAGGATCAAGGACAGTGTTTGGATCACACTGGCTTTCTCTTGAGGTCCCCCTTTCACCGTTAGACACAGGATTGGCCTTTCTCAAATTGGACAATATGACTTTATTATAGAGCGGCTGTTAATGTTCCGGGACCCTTCATGTGTTTAATTTCTTCTTCATATAGATTTCTACTAGTTCAATTCCTTGCTGGTTTTACCAGTAATGTTACTTCTTTTATTGTAATAAATTGGAGGCAGCTTTAAAAACTTCCTTAGAAGAAAAAGGGTATTTACTGCACCAGAGTATCTCCAGCTAACAGCAGTTACTGTCAGGCATAATTGGATGCTAAAAGTCTCTTTACTAAGAGACAGGTGAACACTTTGAAAAACAAAGGTAAGGAAGACAATACAGAAACACATTAAAGTGATAAATAAGTGCAGAAATAACAGGGAAAAAATTGTAGCTAAATTTGCATTGCCATACATGGCTGTATGACTTCTGAGAAAATAGGTGTTTGCTTGAAAATGCATAAGGAGAGTCATAGTTTTGGTGACAGAGTCCTCAGAAGAATGGGCAGGTTCTTTGCAAGCAAGGGGACCCCTTTTAAATGATGCTGTGGTTGTTGAAAGGAGATACAAGTTTGAAAAGTCAGAAGCTCCTAGAAGAGAAATGCAGTCGGAACTACTAAATACCAATTGAGCTTGTATGGCTGGTCTTCTGTGAGAATGACAGAACCTGATGAAAATCTTGATTATACTGACTAATCTCTAACACTCATGAAAATCTCCAGAGCCTTCTGGGGTGATATGATTTATAAATAACCTGAAGATATGTTTGCATTTTTCAGGGGCAATGGATGGTTCACTATGAGAATAACTTACATATTTAATCTTTAATATGTATATCTTTTCCCATATTTACTTGAGATTATCCTTTTCTGTATTTTATATTTCACCTTTTCACATCAACTCTGGATGAGTTATTGAAAAATGTTATTTATGTCATATGGCAGATAATTATGATTTGTGCATCAAGGATTTCTATACACAAAGCAGAGGTTGAAGAGATAAAATATGTATAATTTAGAAGATGGTGGTAATTATTCATATAAAGTGTGCAAAATACAGTGTACCCTCCAATTCTGATTTCAAAGGGAATTCTGTTCCAGCTCAGTAGATGAAATGCGATTATTTATTTGTCTCATTTTAGAGCTTTGGTTTAGTGCCAGACCTCTTGGAAAGGATGATTTCTGGAAAGGCTAAATTAAAATTGATAAGCAACAGTTAGGCCTCTTCTCTTGCCTGAACAGGAGCTATCTTACACTGCACCCTGTGCAATCTCAGCCAGAAGTGTTTAGGCAGTGAAATTGTATTCCCTGTATTTTCTGGTTTGTATAGAAACAGAGGAGAAACAGCTTCAGAATATCAAAGCCCTGGGATGCTGCAAACACAGGGTTGCTCCTACTGGCTATTTTTTCCTGTACTGATAGGACACTTTACAAAGCAGTAGAGAACCAGGAGATTCCACAAACAGATTGAACTCCCCAGAGTCCTTTATAAGTACTCACCTCTTTTCACTTTAAAAGGCAATGGGAAATTTAGTTTAGAAAAGCTCATTAAGTCCTCTTCCCAAAAACAGGCACCTAAAAATGAGATATCCTCAAAGCTGGAGCTGAGGTGCTCTGGATCTGGGCCAGAGCTTTTATGAACTTGTTTTTATTGAGGAATGGGAAGGGAGGGGAGTATGACAATACTCAGTGTTAAAATGTTCCAAATTAATATGTTGCATGGCACAGCATGGATGTTGTTGTTGTAAATTTGTTATTGCTGACAGCAAATGGGAGAAAACAAAATCTCAGCTGTTTACTTTTATGACTGGCCTATTTATCTAAAACCTTACCTGTCTCACATGGAATTACAGATGGCTGCTAAATAAGTAATATGTATGCATTGCACCTGAATGAAGTATTGCTTGAGAAAGAAGACATACTCCCCAGAAGCATAACAATCACCCTTCAATCTTCCATTTTCAGATGGAAGGAGAAAATATATGAAATACACCTGGAGATACACTGTGTTGATGCAAACACTGCTAACAAAGTATGTGATATATTACACTTTACGGAGTGTCAGTGAATTTCTGAAACCTCTAAATCCATCAGGAAATAAATGACAATAGAGAAAGACAAAACAAGGTAAAACAGGACACCACGAGAAATGAACCGTTTTGTTGGTGGAACAAATTGATACTTCGCAGGAAATGCCCCCAGAGGAGGTGTGACCAATTCCTGCTGAGCTGTCTAATAGCATTAGTGCACACCCTGCAGATGGTTGTCGGCCAAAGGCTAGAAGAGAAAAAGAAATGACATTCACAAAGGAAGCAGATAGATTTAAGAGATAAAAAGATCAAGTAATCTAGATTTTTCTGGTAAATTCACAGCCCACTGTTTGCTTTTTGAGACAAACTAATTAACACCTCTGTGTTATTTTGTATCATTCTTCTGATTTTTTTTTGTATCCATGAGCCATAATGACATTTTGAGGACCCTCAATTTAATGGAAGTATCCTCCCTAATGCATACCAAGTGAGACACTTTTCATATCTGTGTTGTTTGGGTTTTTTATTCCAGTGGCTACCAGAGTTCTGTCACAAAGCATGTTTGAGGTGTTTTTTTGGGTGGGTTTTTTTTCTGGGGGGGGGGAAGGTGGGTTTTTTGGGGGGGGGGAGGTGGGTTTTTTGGGGGGTTTTTTGGGTTGTTTTTTTTTGTTTTGTTTTGTTTTGTTTTGTTTTGTTTTGTTTTGTTTTGTTTTAGTTTTGGAGGGGTTTTGTTGTTGTTTTGGTTTTCTTGGGTTGTCATTTTTTTTCTCTCTTTTGTTTCTATAGGCATTAAATTAGGTTCAGGAGAGAATTTTAAGTCTCCCTTCTTCAGCTTTTGATCAGCAGGAACAACTGATGGACTGGAGGAGTGTTCTCTACACTGTGGCCAGCATTACATCTTGCTCAGAAAGCAGAACCATCAATATAAAGGGCAAACATTGAAAATCATGCCCATTTCTGATATATATATAAAGGTTTAGTTCTTTGTAGAAGCTCCTCTTGTTTACACACTGTGACAAGAACACACAAGGGCAGAGGTAAGCAGAAGGTGGTCTGACTTGGAATTTGCACTAGATGAACTGAGGATCAAAGTAAAAATGACATCTAATCTTGTTTCTTTATCTGATTTTAGTCATAATAAACTGATTAATATTTGAGCTCTGTACATATAGTCCTAATAGTTATGATTCCCATTTGGCTTATTAAAGCTTGATTGTGGGTTCATGCTTTAGGGCAGGGGGAATAAGTATGGATTCAGCTGGACTCAGCTTCTAGCCTTTTCCCTTTTTCATTTTGTATTTGCTGCAAGGTCAATGGGAAAAGATGTTCAACATAAATGATCCCTTATTAGAAACAGCTGTTCAACAATGGCAAAAGCTGCTTAGAATTACTCTAACACCAATTCAGTTAACTGCTTTGGAATCCTTCAAAAACATCCAATGTTAACTTTTGTCATCTTTACATTTTAGTGAAAACACCATAAAGAGCAAAGTCAAAACCTTTCTGAACAACATTAAGAAGACATTAACTGTATTAAATTAACAACAATGACACTTTCAACTAAGCCTTAAATTCCCAGCAAAAAAACGGAACCAAGCAAAATATTAGTATTTTTGAGAATTTTTTTTCCTTAAATCAAAGCTAATTTGATTTTTTCCTTTCCTTTCATTTCCTTAGGTCGGTATTAACCAATTGCTGTATCACCTCTTCATTATTTGTCTGAGTTTATACCAGCATGAACTATAAACACTTTAAAAATGTTAACAGTGGCTATTTTATTTTAGTCAGAAATTTTCTGTTATTCAAAAGTATTAAACCTCATAATTGGTGTTGACACATCTTCTTGGCTTAGTCTTTTGGGACTTACAATATAAGTTATTCAGGCATGCTTAATTTTAAAATGTTTAAAATTACCACCTTATGTTTTGTGTCCCTGGTTGTTATTGTTGGGAGCCCTAATACGCAATGACTTCCTTCAACTGCAGATCAAGAATATTCTTTCCACATTACTGACCTATCATTTCTGTCCAGCTGCTGCTCACAGCTGATGCTAGGGTTCCTGCTCCTGTCTCTGAGAAACCTTGGTTTTGCATGTTCTGTAGGCTTTGACCTGTTCCTTCTTTCTCCTACCTGTTTTTTCCTGATTCCATATAACTTCTATTAATTATTCTTACCATCTAATGCTCATCTTATCCTTTTACTCTCCTCCTAGATGAGGCTGAATTATTATATGCTGTATGTAGCCTTCTCTCCATGTGAGATTTTATAAACTTATTAAGCATTTTTAACCTCATTTCAAGTATCACTCTTTTTGTTTCCTCATTATAATTACCTTTCCCAGCTGACTCAACTTATGATTAGTTTCAGATCGTTGAAACAGAATCCTCTGAAGCACAAAAATTTCCTGCTGAGGGTTCATTCTTCTTGCAGATGACAAGTATAATAAAGTTATAGTTACTTAGCTCAGAAAGGTTGCTCCTCTTTAGCTAGTGAGAGGAGACGAAACATAGGACTCCTTCAAGTTAGATCAGAAAATTGTCTAAAATATTTTTAGATATATCAAGGGCATGTCAGCACTGGCAGAAAAAGTCTTTCAGCTTTTCCTGATTTTAGTTGAACATACACAAGGTAACCC